ACGGCACATCTCCCTGTTTGCGAAACGCATCAGAGTCCATGATTTGTTTTTAATTAATTGGCGAGCGGATTGGATTTACGTCGCTGTCACCGAGTTTATCACGCCCAGTCGCAAAAAAGCTAATTTTAATTATGTCGATCAACGGCATGATCACGGAGGCTAACCCGCGCAGCGCGCACGCAGAGGCGTTTTCGGAACTCAGCCGCGACGCGCAGGACACGCAGTTTCTCGCGGAACACTTCAGCGCGCTGGCGACGGCGTACGCCGACTTCGCCAAGAGCCTCGCGAAGGTCGCGACGCGCGCGCAGCAGCACCTGAGCAGCAAGCAATCTGCGCCAGCGATGCGCCAGTTTCTGCTGAATCAGGCGGACTACATAAAAGATTTGTCGGAGTTCCAGGCGCAGTTTGCGGAAGCGTGCGAGCTGAAAATCGTGGCGCTGGTGAAAGATGCGCGCAGCAGCGCTGCGCCGGCGGCGGCGCCGGACGAAGCGGTCAGTCTGCGTAGCACGACGCCCTACCAGCTGTACAGCGCGATCCGCGTCTCGACGAAGTTCTACCTGCTGATGTTGCAGCTTTCCGCTAAGCGGCTGCTCGAGTTCTACAAATACTACCACAATGCGAAGCTATCGGACTTCTACTCGCTCGAGGAGCTGCAGCGCGTGCCGGTCGCGTTCAGCAAGTCGCGCAAGCCAATTCACTTCGCGGCGGAAGACATGCAGTGGTTGCGTTGCGAGCAGCGCGCAACGGGCAGCGACAGCGCACCGACCCGCTGCGCGGCCGCCGCAGAGCGCGCACCGCCGATCGGCGCCTCAGGCGCGGAGATGGGTTTTTGAGTGAGGGGATTCGCTTTGCGCGCGCGAACTCCCCTCTGCACCAAACGCTTACGGCCCTGGCCGACAAACTCCTCGGCCGCATTGCGCGCTCAGCCGACCCCGCCGCGGCGCTGCAAGCGAAACTCGAATTCTACGACTCCGCGGCGATTCAAATGTTCAGCTCCACGTTCGGCGCGGCTGTGCGCTCCGAGCGCTGGGACGCGCGCGTCCACGTCGTCGACCAATGCGCTGAACAGGGCCTGTTTCAATACCCTCGCGTGGCGCCGCGCCTGGTGTTCGCTCCGCTAAGCGACTGCGCGCCGTACTCGATTGGCGTCGACTACGGCACAGCGCCGCTCTCGGAGCGCGACTGGGCGCTGATTGCGTACCAGTTCTATTTGGTGGCGCTACACAACCTGCAGCTGTCCGCCGCGGAAAACCGCGCGTACGACACGCTCTTCAAGCGCTTCCGCGTCTTTGCCCAAATCTCGCACGACGTGATGTTCCAAACGCTGCAGCTGCTCAACGAAGCGAACGCCACGATTAGCTTCAACCTGTACGACGTGCGCCACCGCATTTCGCGGCTGCGCATTGCATGGCTCAGCATCTACGCGGATCCCGACACGGTGCGCACCTCGCTGTACCTCGTGCTATTCTGGTTCGTCAACCAGCTGCGCTACCTGTCGAAAAGCGCGCCGTCAACTTGGCGCGCCTGGCGCGCGTTCTCGTTCGCAAACGAGTGGCTGACGACCACGTTGCAACTCACCGCAGCTCTGCGACAGGACGGCGACGCCAAGCTCGGCTGCTTCTGCACGCTCTTCGACGTCGCCTTCACGATCCTCGACCGACTTTTCCGCGCGTTCACGCGCGGACTTTGGGGGTGCTACGAAGCAGAGCTGAACTGCGTGAACCAGTTCTCGCTCGCCAGTCTGCACGTAGTCAGCGAACTCGTCTTTCACTTGCACTTCTTCGCCACCGACGAAGCGCAGGCGTCCGGCGCGTTTCGCACGTGCTTCGGGACCAACTTGCTCGCGCTGCCGCCGGAGGCGCAGTTCCAAACGCTCAACCGGCTAAACATTGAGGTTAAACAGCAGCTGCGTGCGACCAACCGCTTCTTCTCCGTAGCCGAGCCTCGGACGCACGCGGGCGTGAAAGCAGCTTCTAGCTTCGCCGCTGCGCAGTCCAGAAGCAGCGACTCGTTCGCGCAGTCGGCTGGCGGCGCGTCGCCCGCGAACGCGCTGCACCCGTTAGCCGCGAGCGCCTCAGAGGAGCTCTGCTGCGAATCCGACCGGCTTCGCCGCATGTCGCGCGCAGAAATACAGTTAGTCAAGAACGAGTTCTTCGGACCGGTGCGCGAGGTGACGCTGACTTGTCTGCACTTGCTGCTCGGCTGCTTGATTGACCTCGAGGAGCCAGACATGTTAGTCAGCGAGTTCGACTCTCTGTGCGGCCAAGTGCTCAAACTCTCGGAGCAGACCGCTCGGCTGCACCTGCGACAAGACGCCGCCTTCACCGCAAGCACTTTGCAGTTTGTGCGTGCCAGCTTGATCAACTGGGCTACGCGGCTTACGCTGTCCGGCTTGAACCGACTCGCGCCCGTCGCCGCTGCCGCCGCGCCGGGTATGCTCAACGCGACGTATCTGCGAAAGGTGCTCCACTTGCTTTACTCGCCCGGGCTCGTCTCGAAAAGTGCGTGCTTCGGCACAGACGCTGGCTGGACCGCCGTCGAATCCTCGAGCGAGCTCTTCGCAAGCGGCGGCAGCTACTACGTCTACCGCTTTCCCTCGCGAAAATTCCTCTCACTCAAGCGCGACGCGCTGCTAGCGGCGAACGCGAGTCTGCACAAGCCGCGCTACTTCTTGTACTCGAGCAGTTTCGACAACTTGCTGTGCGATCTGTCCTTCATCGACTTCGCGCTAGTCGACACGTTCAACGTCATCACTTACTGCGTCGCGGACCACACGCGGCACTTCACCACTGAGAGCCTCGCACTTGCGCTGCAAATTTGCAAGGTCGCTTTCGCCACGCAGACGGACGTGCCGTCCCCCGCAGAAGTCGCGGCGCGTGCCGAAGAGCGCGCCGACGCGCCGCCATCGGCCGCGTCCAGCAAGTTGCCGCCGCTGTGCAATCAGCTGCCGTCCGCTGACCTCTTCACCAACACGATGCGGCACTTCGTCTGCGCGAGCTTCAAGAACCAGCGCCGCCGCACTTTCACTGCCTGCGTCAGCGAGCTAGAGGCCTGCACCACACCTGTGGCGCTGGCCGCCTCCGCAGACAGCGCCGGCAACAAACTGAGCGGCAGCGAACAGGTCTGTGCGCAAGCGATGACGGCAGTCAACCAGACTCTCAAGAGCTTTTACTTCGAAGTCGTCGTGCTGCTAGAGTCGTTGCCCGCGCTGATGGAGCCGTACGTCGCGCCGCGCGAAGCCGTCTACCTTCTGCGTTTCGAGCTGAGCTCGACGATGGCGCGTTTCTTCCAGTGGCTGCAGACGAGCGAATTCTGGATCGCGTCGCAACCCGTGCCGCCAGGCTTTCTGCAGTTCGCACAGAACTTGCAGCGGGTGTTTCGGCTCATCGACTGCGCGAGCCGCGCGCTCGGCACGGACGACGCCGACTTGCCGCACGTGCAGTACAAAGCGTTTTTGGCGACGTGCTTGAAGAACTTCGTTGGCTCGCGCGTTTCCGAGTTCAAGGACGCCTCGACAAAGTTCGCACTGAAGGACCAGCTCGCGCCGATTAATTTCGAAGAGCAGCCGCACTCGATCGGACTCACCGATTTTCTGAGCTATTGCCACAGCGTGGTAGACACAGTCTGCTCGCTGCATTTCGACCTAGAGCTCTCCGAGGCGCTCCTGTTCGACTTCATCGGCGGCGCGGTCGCCGCGTACAGCGCAGCGCTGGTCGGGCTCGTGCGATCGGAGCCGCTGCTGAGTTTCGTGAACTACGTGCGCGCTATCAGCAACATGCTTCTCGACAGCAACTCCGACGGCGACAGCTTGCTCAGCAAAGTGCTGCGGATCCACCGCAAGAAGAGCGGCGTGATCAAGTACCTGAGCAGCTTCGCAGGCCAGACGCACCGCAGCCGCACCGACGCGCGCCCGCCAACGCCGGCAGCGCAGGACGCCGGGGCGACGGAGGAATCGTATGCGTTCAGCGCGGGCACTGCGCTGTCGGACGCAACCGGCCCGGACGCCGCAGGCGCAGATGCGACCGGCGCTGACGCTCCAAAGGTCGACTCCGCACTGATCGAAAAAATGCGCAAGAAGCTCGGATACCGGCTGCAGGAAACGTCGACGGCGTACGTCTACGCTCTGGAGTGCGTCGAGCGGCTGACGCCGCTGCAAATGAGCACGGCGCTTCACAACCTTGAAGCGCTCACCGCGCGCGCGACGCAGCTGCTGAACTACGCGTCGCACGAACTCGCTGTGCACTCCGCCGGCGACGCAAGCCTCGCTCGCGTCGCGCGGCAACTCGAGGCCGCGCTCGGCGTGCCCGCGGCGCACGCCGCGGCG